CCAGGGCGTGTGTAAGCGAGGTGGGTCGCCCCAGAGAGTGGCCGGCGCGTCCTCTGGCCCAGTTTCTGCTTGCCCCCCCAGCCCCCCTTGCTGGTCCCACAGACTGTGTGGGACCCCCTGGCAGGCCCCTCCGGATGGGGCAAGACAGGAGTCTCCTCCCCTGGGCGCAGCCAGCTGCTCTGGGGCAGCCTCTGAGCAGTGCCGGGCTCAGCAGTGAGGTGGGTGCGGAGGGAGGGCTGCGGATTGGGCCCTCCCACCAAGCAGAGGGCGAAGAGCCCCTGTGCCAGCGGAGCACACGCCTGGGAGAGCTGTCTGGCAGGCGCCCTCTGCTCCCAAGGCTGTGCGGGGCAGGTGCCACCCAGCCCCTTGCGCGGGCTGAAAACGGCACGGCCCTGGTGCCAGGCCCCCGAGCCGTGGCCCCTCCGAGCTGTGCAACCACAACCGGCTCAGCCCGCCTGCACCACCCTGAAGAACCAGCACAGCAGAGATGGGGGATGCCTCTGGGACGCCCCGCTTGTGCCCCATGTGGTGCCAGTGCCCAGCCCGCTCCCTGCGAAGCGGATGGAACGGTGCTGGGCCAATTGGTCCGGCTGCTCAGAGCCACGCTCCCTAGGCCACGGCCCTGCCACCGGGGTGCCACAATCACATGCTGACATGCGTGGTCGGGGTGTTTGCTTAAATGTTTACAAACTTAAAATTAGGAAAGAGGCCAGAGTGCGAAAGCTCCGGAACTCCTGTCCTCGCTCCTGCCTGCTGTTCTCCGGGAGAGGAGGCTGCAGAGGCACCGAACTCCTGGATCGCCGCGCTGCCGCCTCGGGAAGCAGCAGCCCGCCCTGAGCAGGGGAGGCCCTTCCCGCCCCGTCCCCAGAGGTGAAGCCGGGAGCGCATGCCCTCTGCGGGGGGCGCGTCGGGCTGCGCTTCACCACGAGGGGGCGCAGGCGAGGGGAGGGTCTCCCTTGGCAAGCGGGCACAGAGGCCCCGTCCCTTTTGCCCCCCCCCCCCGCACGAGCCCCGGGGCGAGAGGCTGCTTTGTGCCCCCGGCAGAGCGCCGCGCTCCCCGCCCCCTCCAAGCCGCCGCGCGCTTCCGACCGCAGCGCGTTTCCTGGGCCCCACGGCCTCCGCCGCTCTTTCCGCGCCTCTCGGCGGGTCGCGGCTCCGCGGACCGCGAGCGTGCCGCTGGGCGCGCGGCAGCACAGCGGCAGGCGCGCGCTTCGCGGGGACGCGCCGAGCAAGGCTCCTCCAGGCGGGCGCCGGGGCGACGTCAAAGGGGCCTCCCCGCCGACGCCTTTCCCCGAGCGGACTCGCTGCGTGCCGGGCCCGGGGCACGTCGCCATCCGCCGCAGGGCCCGCGGTGGGCCTCTCCACCCGCCCCCTTGCCAGCCCCAGCCGGCTGCGCCTCCGGAGAGGCGGGCCCTGGAGCCGCCCCGGGGCGCTCGCAGGGGAGCTCCTCGCCGGCCCTTCCGCGCCAGGACCAGAGGCGGCCCGCCGCGCCGCGCTCGCCCCGGGCTGGGAGGGGCGGGAGGCCGCGGGAGCGGCGGCGGCGGCGGCGCGCCCTCCCGCCCGCTGCCGTTGGCGGGGCGTCCCTCCTCTCCGCGCGGGTGGAGGCGCCGAGCAGCTCCCCGCCCCCCGGCAGGAGCTCCGCCGCAGCCCAGCGGTGTGCGGGCCCCGGGGTCCGGCTGCCAGCGGGAGCGTGTGGCCCCCTCCTGGGCGGCGCCTCCCCGAGGGCTTCTCACGGCCTCCGAGTGCCTGACTCAGAGGCGCCAGTGCCCGAACACGCGCCGCCCTGCTCTTCCTGCCCGGGCCAGCCGGACCACGTCCCTTCCCGGGCCACAGGTGCGTGCCGGTGCGCGCCAGCCCTGGACACGCGTCTGCGGCGGGGGGAGGGGGCTGCGTGTGCGCGAAAGCGTTCGTGCACACGGGCCTTCGCGACGCAGGCAGCCGCTTGCAAGGCGCCCCAGAGCCTCTGCTGGTGGCGGCAGAGAAGCAAGCGAGAGCAAATGCAGCGGAGCCGACCCGGCGAGAACGAGGACTCTCGCGGCAGCACGCGCCCAGGCAAGCCTTTCGGGTGAAAAGGCCGGACGGGGAGCAACATGTTGGTCCTTGGCGATAAAAAGTTCACCGGGTCTCTGGAAATGCTAATTTTTTACTTTTATAAGAACTGGACTGAGGGGAAAATGAAATCTGGCGGGAGAGAGGGAGAGAAGGAAGTTTCATGAGGGGGTGGTCCTGGGGGCAAGCAGTTTCTGCCGCGATTTCATTGACACGATCAGGCAACCATATAACATCCATAAGCGCTTTTATTGACACAGTCCAAACCCGGGCGGATCGCGCACCAAGCCACTCAGCGAAGGACCATTACACGCACGGGACGGGCAAGCGCTGCAGCCTGCAGTCACCGAGGGGCTCCTCTAGGTCCGCGCGGCGGGACAGGTGGGGTGTCGCCCACGCGCGTCACCTTCAGTCTCACCCCGCCTGCCCCGGGCCACGGAAAGCCACGCGCCCGGAGCTCTTCAGCCCATGGTGCCCGTCCGGGCCAGGCCCTTGTCCCGGAGGCGGTGGAAGCTCCGGAGATGGATGAAGGCAGCTCTGCCGGGACGGAGGAACAGACCCGGGCAGGCCGTGCCCAGGCCGGAGCGCCAGGCGGCGGCGGCCTCGTCGCGTTCCCCTCCCCTCCCCGCCCCTCCCCGCCCCCGGCGGGGCTCGCCAGAGAAGCGCGCGGGGCAGATCAGAGGCGCGGGGGGCTCCCACATTCTGCCCCCGGCCCCCGTTCCCGTACAACCGGCAGGTCGGGCCGCGGGTCCGGGATTGGCCCGCAGTCACCCCGGGAGCCTGGTGCTGCGTGGGGAGCGGAGCCCGCATCGGCCCGGCCCCCGCCAGCGCCTCGCCCGTCGGAAGGCAGGAGGAGGCGGCGGCGACCGCGGAGGCCCCGCTGCTCCAGCCCCAGCCCCTGCTGCCGGAAAGCACCCCCCCCACACGCCCCGCGAGCATTACAAGATCCGATGCGAGCGGCCCGCTCCGGACTGCCGGGAACGTGGGAGCAGCCGGAGGCGGGCGCGGGGGGCAGTGCGCGGGCGCGGGCCGGGAGGTTGTGCGCTCCCGGGCGTCCCGCGTGGCCCGCCCGGGACCGACGGCCCGGGCAGCCGCTCCTCGCGAGGAGAGCGGCGGCGGCGCTCGCCAGGCCCGGCCGCGCTGGGCTGAAGCCGCCGGCGGTGAATGAGCGGCGAGGGGAGGGGAGGGGAGGGGAGGGGGCTCGGCTCGGCTCGCTCTGGCCCGGCCGGGCCGCGGCCAGAGGATTGGCTCGGGCGAAGAGCGGCCGCCGAGATGCTGCTGCGCCGAAGCACGACCGCGGGGACGGCCAGGCGGCGGGCAGGGCAGGAGGGTCCCGGGCAGAGTGCAGGAGACCCGGCCAGGCAATGGGGCCAGAACGAGCCTCTTAGAGCGGATTTCAGATGGAACGTCAGTAAGGAAGGCTGGAAAATGTGTGGGATTACAGGATGCTAAACTGGATGTCGGAAAGAATAAAGGAGTTTTTATGAACTAGCATGGAAATGGGACCGACTCTGGTGAAACTTTATCATATGGACGCGCACATTCTGACCTCCGCTGGAGAGGCGGTTGCGGCCTGGGAACGCATTTCCATGTGGAAAGAGTGTGATTATATAATGAGTTTCGGAAAGAGGATTTTAAAGAAAGCAGTAAAACTAAATATTGAGGTAAATCCCGAAATTGCATTAGTAACCCATATTATGGAATGTTAAAGAACTAATAACAAATTTATTAACAGCTGCGAGATTAATTATAGCAGAGAATTGGAAAGTAAAACATGATGATCAATTGGGTGATTAGTAGAGAGAAGTTTGGAATATTGCTATTAATGATAAATTAACTTGTGGTATTAAAATGAAAAGGCTATATAGATAAGAATAATTTTGAGAAGGGTTTGAACCTCCACAAGTCATTGCAATTTTGGAAGAGGGACGGAGCTTCTTGAAAGAGCAAATGACCTGGAGCGTATCTGATGGTCCCGGTGGGTGCTTGGTTGCCATAGAAAGATTTTAATTGCATGTTCTCCATTTAGCTAATTTGTATTTTGGGGGAAAACTAAAAATAAATAAAAAAGGAACTCCAGTAGCTGTGGCAGAGCCCCCAGGTAAGACGGGGCCTCCTTTGGTGTGCTTGTCCCGAGGGCCAGTGGGGCACACGGCCCGGGGCCACCAGCAGCCGGGCATCAGCCCCCAGGGCAGGAGGCCTCCCAGTGGCGGCCTGCACCCGCCGAGGGACTGCAGAGAGAGGCCCCAGCGGGGCGGCTTGAGGCAAGGGTGCTCAAGGGGGACCCTGCTGGCGGGGAGCAGAGTGCCCAGCCACGCTTGCAATGACCCACAGACCGTGGGCTGGCCCCGGCTCTCTCTGGGCTGGACAGTGCCAGGCAAGACGGCTGCCCTCCTCAGCGGTCTGGATGATCCAGGGACTGGAAACAAAGCCCTCTGAGGAGAGCTGGGCGTGCTTGGCCATGAGCAGCGGCCGAGGGGAGGTGGGGTAGCCCTCCACGAGGACTCGGAAGGCTGCTGCAGAGGGGAAGGTCGGGCTCTCTTCTCCATCAGCCCAGAGTGCAGGGCACGGAATAACAGGCCCAAGATCCAGGAAGCCGGGTTCTGGCTGGACATCAGGAAAAGCTTCCCGAGTGTCCGAGCAGCACTACAATGGAACCCATGACCTCGGGGGGCGGGGGGCTCCCCCGCCCTGGAGACGTTCCAGAGGCAGCTGGACAGCCATCCCTCAGGGGTGCTTCCCCTGGAGTTGGGCTCGATGGCCTTCACGGCCCCTTCCGCAGCGACTAGCCTATGAGTCTTACCCCTCCTCCCACACTACCCTGCGTGTCCCTCCCCCTCCCCGGCATTCCCGTCGCAGCTGCCCCCCCCCCCATTGCTGCTTGCCCGGCCAGAGCCATGGCTGCAGCGTGTGGTACCCCCGACGCTGCGCACAGCAGGGGGCTCACCGGCTCAGGAGCTGCCTTGTGCCGGCTGCTCGGGCCCCGCGATGACTGTGGACGTCACGGTGACTTCGCTGAAGGTCACCCTGCCTGGCTGGCCGGCTTCCTGGTCCTGAGAAGAGAGGAGGTCATGCAGGGAAGCCCTGGGGGCCCGGGACAGCCCAACCATCACGCTGGAGGCCTCTGGGTAGAGCAGGCCCAGGACCTGAGGCGTGCTGCTCTGCCTGTGGGCCTCGGTGACGAGGCTGGCGACCACCTCCTGGCTGCTCAGCGCGCCCGTGACGTACCTCGCCAGAAGGTCCTGCCTCTTGCTCTCAGGCACGTGTGCGGAGAGCAGCAGGTCCCACATGGGGATGTGCTGGCCTGGGGATCCCCCGGGGGGAAACTCGAGGGTGAGCACCTCTGTGGCACGGACCCAGGGCCTGCCGTGGGGCTCCCCGGCGCTCCCCGCCCCTCGCAGTGCTGCAGCTCCGTGGCTGGCGGGGAGGGCTGTGTGCCGGCCTTCCCTGGCCGCCTCCTCTGCCAGCTTGCTCACAACGGCAGTGACCACCGTCTCCACTTGGTCAGCAGTGAGGATCCCAATTCTGTACAGCTTGAGGACCTCCTTCCTCTTCTTTTCTGGGAAGTATTTGGAGTGGAGCAGGTCCCACACAGAGACCTTCCGCCCACGGAACTCTCCAACCGGAACCTCCACCAGCCTGGACTTCAGGACCTCATCCTTTTTATTGTCCTCCTCCTCCTCCTCCTCCTCCTCATCCCCCTCCTCGTCCTCCTCCTCGTCATCCTCCAGAGACGCTTTGAGAGGGCTGGACTCGTCCTGGTTTCCAGGCAGGCTGCTCGGCCTGGTCGCGGTTTGCCCCAGAGAGCAGAACAGGTCGTGCAGCGAGACCAGGATGGTGAGCATGGACGCCAGCTCCTGGGCGCTGTACCTGCCGCTCCGATACTGCCTCAGGAGCTCCTCCCGCTTGTCCTGGGCAAGGTACTGAGAGAAGAGGACGTCCCACACGGACCACTGCTCACCCCGGAACTCTCCGGCAGGCAGCGTGATGAGCTGGGCCCGCAGCAGGTCGTCCGCGTGCTGGCTGGGGGAGCAGTGGGGGGCTCCTGGGGGCTCCCTGGAGCCCGACCCCCCCTGCTTCCGGCTCTTCACTCGCACCAGGAATTTCCTGGTGCCCGCCTCTGCCTTTTCCAAGGCGCTGCTCACAGCAGCTCTCATCTGCTCGGGGCCGAGTACCCCAGTCCTGTACAGCTCCATCAGCCTCTGCCGTTTCTCCTGGGAGAAATATTTAGAATGGAGAAGGTCAAGCACTGAGACATTTTGTCCTTTAAACTCTCCAGAGGCCACGGGGATGCAAATTGCCTGCAGGGATCGTCTCATCTGTGCTTCCTGGAGGTCGCGTCTGCCCCCTGCCTCGGGGCCCTCGGTCGCTCCGGGGCCCGGCTCCTTGGCCTCCTCCGCCTCCTGCGTTTTGGCCGCCGAGGCAACGACCGCTGTCTCCATTTGGTCGGCACTGAGCAAGCCGGCCTCGTGCAGCGCCAGCAGCTCCTTCCGTTCGCTCTTTGGGATGTGCTTGGAGTACAGCGCATCCCAGAGGGAGACCTTCTGGCCAGAGGGCCCCCGGATCATCCTGCACCTCAGGGCGGCCTCTGCACCGGCCTGCCGCGCCGGGCATGGGTCCCGCTCCGCCTCTGGCAATGGCATCGCGTGGGGGGGCTCCTGCCTGCACCCCATCTCTGCCTCGGTGACAATGCTGGTGAGGGTCTGGGTGATGTCTTGGAGGGAGATCCTGCCAGTCTTGAACTGCTTGAGGAGCTTCTGCCTCTTCTGCCGAGGGACGTACCTGGAGAAGAGGAGGTCCCACGCCGTGGCTCCGTGGCTCGGCTGGAAAAGCCCCGTGTGGACTCGGGTTGTGGCTGACTTCAAGCATTTCCTCATGTTTTCATCCAGGTGGACGGACCCCTTGTCTGCCACCTGGAACATCAGCAGGCCCGTGTCAGGATCAAAGATGCATCGCGGGAGGAGCTGCAGGTAGGTGAGGTTCTCGCGAGCATTGGGGTCAAAGCACCGCTTGCTGTGGCCAGCTGGGTCCGCGATCAGGCGGAAGATTTCGGAGTCCAAGTAGCCCCAGTTGTAGGCGACCTCCACGGGGAGGCGGTGGCTGTGCATGGGGTGGATCAGGCCCCCCGTGGCGACCTGGGCCTCCAGCAGGCGGATGCCGTGGTCCTTGATGATGAGGCCTTTCTTCATGGCCTGGAAGAGGGAGATCTTGTTCCCCGAGAAGGGGTCTGTGTAGCCCGTCACGGCCTTCTCCGCAATGAGAAGCGTGTTGAAATGCTCTCGGTCGACGAGGCCCGCGTTCTTGGCGTCCCTCACGGAGAGCAGCCGGTTCTGGGCAACATCCACGATGTAGCCGGAGACTGCCTGGTGCTCCAGCAGAGCCAGGCCTGTTCCATGGGTCAGGAGGCCCCGGTGCATCGCCTGCCGGATGCTCAGCCTCTCCTGCCTGGGCTCCTTGATGATGCCGGCCACGATGCGGTCCTCCCTCAGGCCCGCCGCAGTAGGGAAGGGCCAGCGTGGCTCTTCGCGGACTTGCACCAGCGGGACGCCCTCCGTGGCAAAGTGCTTGTCCTGTGGCATGGTGCTGGCGTGGGGCGGGGTGGGCCTCCTCTGGCGGGAGCAGATCACGCAGGGCTCTGGAAGAAGGCGGAGGTAGTGAGCGACGGCACAGGCGCCTGGGGCACGTGCCGCTCCCCTGTGGAGCGTGCATGCGCAACCAAGGCTGCCCGAGCCCCCCCGCCCCCCGGCAGGTTCCCAGGCGCTGCTGGCCCACCTTGCGAAGTCCCCCGCAGCGCTGGGAGGGCACGTCCCTCACGCCCCTGCCGCAGGCGCTGCCACTGCTCCAGGAAGTCCTGGGACTGCGGGGGGGGGCGCTGCGGGGGCTTCAGTCAAAGGGCCTCGGGCCACATCTCCGTCCCACCTCCCCTCCTGCCCCCACCATGGGCTCCTCAATAGGAAAGCATGGGGGACTGCGGCTTCTGGCCTCCCCGTGGAATTCCGTGAGGGATACAGGAAGCGCACCCTTGAAGCCTTCCTGGAGCCCCCCAGATCAAAGCAGCCACTTCCACGGCCACAGTGAGGATGCAGTGCCTCGTGGCCCCTCCCCGGCTGCCCTCCGTGGGCTCCATGGGAACCGAGGCCAGCCTGTGCCTGGGCATCACCTGCACCCCAGCTGCGCCTCCAGCCCCGGCAGAGCTGGCCCGGGGCATTGTGGCTTTCCAGGCGAAGGAAGGCCAGGCGGCGGGAGGGGCAGCCCGGCAGGGGTCCTGGACGAGCAGCAGCCCGCGTGGCGTGTCCGCCTGACTCTGGGAGCCCCTGGGGTGCGTGAGGCCCGGCCCGGCCCTGGCGGGGCTGTCTGCCACAGGCTGCTTCCTCCTGCTGCCGCTGCTTGTCCGGACAGACCCAGCTGCAGCAAGGCAGGATTCGGACCGGCAGCCCCAATTATCCTGTGCCCGGACAGGCTCCACTGGCCCGCTTCCGCCACTTTGGGAAAACGCCTCCTGCCCGGAGCCCCGTGATGCTGAGCCCTAGGCCTGGGCAGCAGGCCGCGGTGAGCAGGGTGCCTGGCCAGACTCGCCTGCCGAGCCAGGTGAGGCGCGTGAGCACAGCTTTGCCCCCGGCTGGCTGGAGAACCTGTTTGCTCGCACCGGCCGGCTGCGTGTGCCTCCCGCCTCTCGCCCAAGGCTGCCCGGCCGTCGACTCACAGCAGCACTAATTGCCGTCCTGTGAGGGTGACTTGCCCCATTTGGCTAATTCTGCACTCAAACCGAAAGCGGGGCTGCCTGGCCAGTGAGGTCATGCTCCAAACAGGTCTAATTGGGGCTTACCGGCGTGGCTGCCTTCGGGGGAACAAGCCATCTGGGACAAAGCAAAATGGGCCACCCCACACAGCCGGGAAGGTGAGCAAGCACTCCTGGCATGCCGTGCGGGGCAGAGCAGGGCGGACCACGTCCCGGGAGCCTGCCCGGTCCCCAGAGGGGGCCGTGGAGCAAGCCGCTCCCCTCCTCACTGGCCCCCCACAGGCCTGGGCTTGGGCCTGATGCAGCCAGGCTGAAGAGCCCAGCGCCCCGCCCCACCCCACCCCGGCCACTGAGGGATGGTGGACCTGGAGAAGCAGGCACGGGTGTGGGCCCATGTCTGGGGCAGCCCCATGCACCCCCTGATGGCGTGGGCCGGGCTGGAGCCGCCTGGTCAGATCCAGCCCCGCTTCTCCCCTTACCCCCTCCCAGGAAGATAAGGGAAGAACGTGGGGACATGCAGGTATGTGAGGGGGTGTCACACTGAGGTGCATAGAGACCTGTTCTCCCCTGCAGAAGAAGGCAGGACGCGCTCCAACAGAGCAAAGCTCAGGGAACCCAGGTTCCGTTTGGATGCCAGGAAGCACTTCCTGACAGTCAGGACCCCGAGGGTGTGGAATGGGCTTCCATGGAGGTGGTTGAGGCCCCATCGGTGAGGGTGTTCAAGGATAGGCTGGACGTCCACATGGTGGGCAAGTCATGAGTGGAGCCGGCTGGAGCCAGGGGTCAGACTAGATGGTCTGGGAGACCCCTTCTGACTCGCGGCCTTTCTATGTTTCTAATGTGGAGGAAGAGGCACGCCAAATATAAAGTTGGGGCAAAGCACCCACCCCCAAGGAAACGCTGGTGGGACCCGAGGTGGCAGTGCCCGAGCCAGAGGGGGGGCTCAGACTGGGTGGGCAGCTCGCTGGAAGTGCCCGGCTGCCACAGAAGAGGCAAATGCCATCTGAGGCAGAACTGGTGATGAAACCGAATACAGAATGGCCAAGATCAGACTTCCTTTTGGCAAATCTGGTAAGTGATCAGGGGGCTAGATCCCATGAGGAGCAGCTACAAGAACAGGAACCATTTGGACAGAAAAAAAGGAGAATAAGGCTGTTTAGACTAATGCTTGGGGTGGAAGAGGGGGACAGGGCGTACTATTTCTCTCTCTCGCAACGCACCTGAACCCAAAGGGGTCACCCCATGAGGCTGACTGGTGGCAGGTTTAGGACAGATCAAGGAAGTCCCTCTTCATGCAGCGTGCAGTTAAAGTGCGGAATTTGCTGCCTTGGGAAGTGGCAATGGCCGCCAATCCGGGTGGCCTTAAAGGGACTGGGCAGATTCACAAGGGAGGAGGCGATCTGTGGCTACTAGCCTTGCGGGCCATGTGCTCCCCCCCCCCGCCAGAGGTGGCCTGCCTGCCCACAGCGACTGCCAGGGCGCCTGGGCTGGAGGGTCTTGCACCCCTCCTGCCAAAGGGATCCTGTGGGCAGCTGGTTGGCCACCGTGTGGACAGAGCCCGGGACTAGGTGGGCCCTTGGCCTGATCCAGCAGGGCTTGTCTTACGGTCTTACCAGATGCAAGGAATGAGCCTGTGGTTTTGCATGGGGTTACTCTGAGTAAAGGGAGGCTAGAACATCTTGGGGTTTTAGTCCCACTGCCAGGGCTGGCTGGCCGAGCCTCCTGCTGGGAGCACACGCTCACTCAGCCCAGCTCCAGGTGGCCAGCCGGCCTGCTGGAACACCTTTGCTACTGAACAGTTTTGGGGGGCTGGGAGCCCCACTCTGCATGCAGCGGCTCAGTTCCTGGCGGCGTCTTGAGAAAGGGCTGGGGGAGCCCGCCTGCAGCCCCAGCAAGGCTCTGCAGCACCGCTCGCTCGCAGCCGCTTCTGGCACCCCAGCATTCCAGCACCGCAGTGCTCTCGGCTCCCCTGCGGACTCCTCCGGAGCAGTGCTTCCGTCTCCGTCCCAAAAGGAGCAGTGCCTGTTCTCAACCCGGCTCCCCAATTATGGTTTGGGGAATGAGGACAAGGCCGGCTGCCCAGGGGCCAGATGCTGCCGGAGGGCCATGAGGCAGTCCGCATTCCAAGCCGGCCAAATTGCGCCTGGGCAGGCCGGCAGCAGCCCTGGGCTCCCTGCAGGCCAACCGAGGAGGAAATGACACACACCCCTGCGGAGCAGGATGGGGCAGCTCAGTGTGGTGTAGTGGTTACGAGCATGGGACTGGGACTCAGACAATTTGGGTTCTAGCCCCCGCTCAGCCATGGAGCCAACTGGGTGACTTTGGGCCAGTCACAGACTCTCAGCCCAACCTATCTCACAGGGTTGTTGTTGTGAGGATAAGATGGAGGAGGAGATGTAAGCTGCCTTGAGCCCTTTGTAGGAAAAAGGCAGGATATAAATCAATCAATCAATCAATCAATCAATCAATCAAACCACAGCTGCTCGGGGCCAGCTTGGCCTTCCTGTAAGATGGCCGACCGCCCTTCAGCCTGCCATGGGAGGTAGAGTGCACCCCGCGGCTGCCCTGGCCTGCCTAGAGCCTGTTCGCAGGCTACCCGTGGGCTTCTGCCTGCCCAGGTCTGACCCCCAGGGGCTTCGGGGGGGCACACCCAGGCGCCGGGGCAGCTGCGGGGGGCTCTGCCCCCCAGAGGTCCTGCAGGATCCTTGCCCAGGCCCGGCAGGGGGCCCACTCCGGGAGGGCTGCGGGGGGGGGGCGCGGCCCCCGGGCTCCGCCCGCTCTGCTGCAGGCACGGGGGCCCCGGCCCCCCCCCCCCCCCACCGGCGCTCTGCTCTCCGGTCGGCGGGCTGTCCCTGCCCGGGGAAACCGCGAAGCTCCTCCCGCGGGCCGGCAAAGTCCGCGGGCCGGGCAAGCTCTGGGGAAAGCGGCCCCGGGGGCGCGCACGAGCCAAGCCCGAGCAGCCCGCGCCCCGGGAGGGCCCGCGTGCGCCGGCCCATGCCCAGCCCCGGGCGCGCCCCCGCCCCGCTCCTACCGGCAGCTCCGGGTGAAGACGCGCGGCGACCTCCGTCTGGAGCGCTGGTTCCTGCGGCGGCGGCGGCGACTGACTGAGTGCGGCCCGCGCCGCGCCGCGCCGCTTTAAAGCCCTCCTCGCGCCCGCGGGGCCACGCGCGGCCGAGCCATGTGCACAGGCGCGCGGCTGCCCGCAGCTTCCCCGCCCCTCGCCGGACGCGGAGCGCCTGCAGCCCGAGAGGCGCCTCCGCACGAGCGGCCGAGCCGCAGCGCAGCCAGACCGACGCGCCCGGGGCCCTTCCGGCCTGCGGGACGGCCTCCTCCTGCCCGCCGAGCGCCGCAACGGCTCGCAGTGCCGCGGGCGGGCAGAAAGGATGCGGCTGCTCCCCTCGGTTTCTCTGCAGTGCCCCCGGGAGCGTGTGGTCGAAGGCGTCGCAGGGCCCTCCTGTGCCCAGTCAATGAAAACATAGAAACAAAGCGAGCCAGAAGGGGCCTCCTGGGCCATCTAGGCTGACCCCAGCTCCAGCTGGCTCCGCTCATGTCATCCACAACACGTGGCTGTCCAATCTTTTCTTGAACTTCCTCACTGGTGGGGTTTCAAGCACCTCCCATGGAAGCCCATTCCATATCCCTGCGGCGCTAACCATCAGGAACTGCTTCCTGACATCCCACCTGAAGCCTGGTCCCTTGAGCTTGAGTCGTGCGAGGACCGTGCCCAGTGGCCATCTGTGCTGCTGGGTGTGGAGGAGGCGGGGGGGGGGGCAGCGCAGGGAGGCCGTCCTGCTTCATGGATCTGCGCCGCGCTGCGCTGCGCGCCCTGCTGCTGCCTGGAGAGGGAAGCCTCAGCGGGCCACTTGCAACCCCACCTGCTTTGCACCCGAGCCAGGGAGCGGGGTGAGCGCCCTCTGCCGGAGCAGCGCCGCACTGCTACTTCTTGCTTCTTTCAACGCCGCACCGCGCCCGCCGAGGCGCTGCAGCCCAGGGGGCCTCCTCTCCGCGGGGCCCCGCGGCCCCCCGCCCTTCAGCGACCTCGCAGCTGGACAGCCGCCGCGCGCTCCGGGGGCTTCCTCCCCGGCGCCGAAGCGGTGGCCGCGCAGACCTGCGGGCGGCCGGGCGGGCGGCTGCCCTCTGAGCCCGGGGCAGTTCTGGCCGGCTGAGCTCCTTCCCGGCCCCCACGCCGGCCCATGACCTCCGCAGGGCGGGCGACCGTGCCGCGCTGGCGTGCGCGCCGGCTGCTCCCGGGGCAGAAACGGCGGGGAGGCGGCTTCCATACCGCCGGCAGCTGCCCCCGCCGCGGGGGGGAGCCGCGAGCGAGACGGAGCGGCGGCGGGGGCGGCCCCGCGGCGCGCTTTCCCCGTCCGCGCCCGCCCTCTGCCGGATGGCACCGGCCGGGCACGGCTCGGTCCCGGGCGCCCCACGGGGCCCCTGCGGCGCCCGTCTCTGACGGAAGAAGACCCTCCGCCGGGGCAGAGGCCGGGCTGGCGCGCCTCCTGCGCCCGCGGTGCGGCTCCCTTTGGTCTCCCCGGTGCCCCCCCCCCCCGCTGGCGGTCGCCCGGTGCCAGCAGGGGGCCGGCAAGGCGGCCCGCTAGTGGGAGGGAAGGGGCCGGCGGGCTCTGCGTCGGGCTGCCTGCGGAAGTTGAGGCGACCGGGCATCCTG